TTATAGTTTTCTTTTTATTGTTTTTCACTAAGGTAAAAAGGGAAAATCAACACCTAATATTGTTAGTTACTATATTTTAATTGATTTGATGTTAGATAATGAATTAGATCACTATTAGGTAATGTAGAGCCTAATTTCGCTATATATCTATATTTATTTTTGTATGAAGAGAATTTTGAGAAATGTTATTTTTGAAATGATATTTTTTAAAATGCCATTAAAAAAAAATTATAAAATGCTACTTTTTAAAAATCATTTATTCAATTTATCAATTATGTTTGGGTTAATTATGGTGTATTAAAGTTCAACTTTGGAGGGTTTATGGTTTGTTTGGGGTCAAAATGTTTTTTAAGGTTTAAAGTTTTAAAATCGAAGATTTATAAATTCTTAATTAGTGACATTCACTTTTGAAAATTGACGGTATTTTTGCAATTGTGCTTTGTATAAATCTTTAGGATATTAATGCTAACTTTGTGCAAAACTTTTACTCATAAGAAAAAATGAATTAAAAGGAAAAGGAAATTTTCATATTATGTGGAATCAAGAAAAAATATGAGGAAGTGGTGGACCTTGTAACCAAAGATCCAAGAAACTACAGAGGAGAGCCACCCATAGTGTGTCAGTAATGATTCTCCCACCCATCACAAAGAAAATGTTAATTAAACTTATCAGTCTCGGTAAATTATAATCAAAATCAACCCCTATAGTAAGATTCGTTAAAACAAATGCGTCTAAAAGCCTATCCAATTTATATATTTTAAAAAGAAAAATCGAGACAATAATGAAAGTAAGAGAAAAGTGTGTGCAAAAATGAACCCGATAGTAAAAGAGGAATAAATATGAGATAGAAAAAGAGAGAAAGGGAGTAGGTGTGTGTCTATTTAAGTGGAGAAGAGTCCTCACACTCCATACATACAACCTTTTGGCCTCTTCTTCCTCTTTTATCAAAATTAAGCACAAAGGTAATCGACAGATGGAGAAGACGCAGAGCATGTTCGTTGAACAGAGCTTCACGGATCACGAGATTGGCGGTATTAACAAAAACTTTGACGACGATGGCCGCCAGAAAAGAACAGGTTACTCAATATTCTCTCTCTGAATCTTATGTATATGTTATATTACATACAGCAGCATGAACACATGTACAGTATATGTAACGGGCAAGTAAATAAGTAGTCTCAATAGCTCTTATTTTGCGTTTGGTTGGCATTTGGTTGGCATGCTATATATAGTACTAAGATGTTTTATTTTGTAGTTATAAACGCCAAACACACACGCATATTTCTTAAAAATATTTTGTTAATAAGCAACGTCAATTTATCTTCTAAAAATGTGAATTTGTGTTTGTCACAAAAAAAGAAAAAAAGAATTTGTGTTTAATGTTTTTCCTACGTGTGTAAAAGGGAAACAAACAGAAATCTGCGTTTGAAACAATTGCAGCATAAATAACATAAGAGTTTGAATGGTTCTATTGAAATGGATAGGGACGTGGATGACGGGAAGCGCGCACATAATAACGGCAGTAATAGGGTCAGGAGTGTTGTCTTTGGCTTGGGCCAACGCACAGCTCGGATGGGTGGCAGGACCGGCCGTGCTAATGGCCTTCTCCTTCATTACCTACTTTACATCAACCATGCTTGCCGACTGTTATCGTTCCCCTGATCCTGTCACCGGCAAACGCAATTATACGTACATGGAAGTCGTTCGCTCCTACTTAGGTC